GCTTATTTTTCTTAGTTCATTTGGCCAAAGTGTTACCAGGCACATAGTTCTGGGGAAGTGCTCACACACTTCTAAAGTCAAGGTCGCCAGTCAACATGAGTAAATCTTCGAATCACGTGCAGCTGTACGTCAGAGCGGGCTGGGATGGCACTGGATACGGTGCTTGCCCTTTCTGCCAGAGGTTCTACATGGTTCTAGATCTCAAGGCCAAAGGTCACGCACTGACCTATGATATAATCTCAGTGAACACGGCCAGGCCGCCACCAGAGTTCAGAAAATTCGCAAACAGACTTCCGGTGTTGAAACATGACGATGAGGTAAATAGCACAAGAGAATACTTGACCTAGACTGAGCTCTGGATCTAGTTTTTTTGTTTTTCTTAACTACATAATTAAATCAGATTGTAAAAGAGTCAAAACCCGAGATTCAGCATTAATTTTAAAAATAAAGGGAGGAAGAAAAAAAAACAAGAGCAGCAATGACAAACAAGCATTGGTTTGATGGGTACACGACGTTTTGGCGAAGCTACTTTGGCGCGAATCATTTTGGTGCGAGATGCTCTGTTTTAAAATACAATACTTTTTATAAATAAGCATTTTTTTTTCTTTCCCTATATCATACTATAGTATAAGTAGTAGGACTATTCATTCTATATCCTACTATAGTATAAGTAGTAGGACTATTCATTCTCCCCCTCCCTAAGAAAATAAAAAGTCTTAATAACTTTGACTATTTCATGAACACATACAGTGAACTATTGATGGTTGCCTAGTCGTGTGGTTTTGTCTCAGGGAGTCGGGACATGTCGTCTCTATTGTCCCGGGTTCAAATCCTGCCTGCCGCAATCCCCCGCCATCATGTTGGAGGTTATAATCCTATAATTCCTAGGGGACCTTCGAAATATGTGAAACATACAAAACTATGAAAGGTTTAGATTTCTCCCTGGTACCATGTTATTGACATGCTTGCCCCACCCATTTCAATTTTAGATGAAGTGTGCGAAACACGTAGGATGACATTCATCAGTTTTTCCTTTTTTTTTTTTAGTTGGATACAGGTTACTAGGCCTATATTTTAAGCAAATCATTTACGTTTGCGGAGGCACGGTGGCTGAGTGGTAAAGCGCTCGGGTCCTGAACCTGGTGACGGGGTTCAAATCATTATTGAAGACTGGAATTTTTAAATTCGGGATCCACCCTGCTCCTTAGTTTTGAAAAGTAATGGCGGTTGGTTGTTGTGCTGGCCACATGACACCCTCGTTAACCGTGGGCCAAAGAAACAGATGAACTTTGTGTCTAACTGTATTACTCTGTAGAGTTGTGGAATCTTAAAGCTTTATAGGCCTATTAGTTATATGTTGGCCTGTAGTTGTTTTTTTCAATTTATATAAGTACTGCTCAATTTGTCGTCAATGACTAAGCCCTCTAGAGATCGCAAGGTCTGAAATGAGAACTTTTTATTTACGTGTGCACTACAACATTGTATTGATTTGTTTCCGTCATTGTTTTAGTTTGTGCTGGTTAATATACAAACCCATAGTCACAATAGAATGCTAGTCATTAAACAATACTTACACCACAGAAATATCAAAACTACTGGGCACAAAGAGCTCTTTGTTCTTGACATAAACACACGTTTGAAAACTAACACACATACAAAACATAAATGTGTATCATTCCATTGAAAGAAATAATATAATAAACATAAATAATGTGACTTGTACTATTTCGCGCCCAAATATTCCTTGCGCCAAAAAAACGTCTGTGAAAACGGCCCATACTTTAAATTAGAAACAAGAAACTTGTACTTTCATTTCATTTATTTCACGTACCCATAAGCCTCTACTAAATCCGCATTAAAAAAAAAAAGAATCCGCAGTTAGAACTTAACCCTACCACACACTCCAAAAACAGCGCGCGCATGTTCTCATAGAGTTACTGAGTACATAATGTTACATTTGTTTCTCGACATTTCAATATAAACTTAACCTCTGACCTTTGTTCCACAGGTCATCATGGATACAGAGGAGATTCAGCAGTACCTAGACGTCCACTTCCCCAAGCCAGACCTACGCTACACCAACCGAGACGCCCACACGGCCTGTCTAGACGTCTTCTCCAAGTTTTCCTTCTTCATCAAGAACGTGTCCCACACCCCAGACCATCTTCTGAAAGAGCTCTCCTACCTCGACTCCTACCTCGACAGGACCGGCAACAAATTCATGTGCGGGGACGAGCTGACCAATCTGGATTGCAACGTCCTGCCCAAGCTCCAGCACATCCGGGTGGCTTCCAAGGCCTTCAAGGACTTCGAGATCCCAGGCTCCATGACGTACCTGTGGGGCTACCTGGCCAATGCTTACAAAAACGACACCTTCAAAAAAACCTGCCCCTCTGATCAGGAGATCGTCCACCATTGGAGTGAGAAGAAGGAAACAACTCCTTTGCCGGAGAGCAAGCAGAAACTTTACATGGTGGAATCTACACCAAGATTTAGCTTGGACATCCCAGCATTTGCAAATGGTCATTATCGGAAATAAAAATAAATCATAGAAAAGTCTACTATAAAAAAAACGGTGAACTATATCAAACATTTGTCATTTGGCTTAGTCAATGACGAAAAATGGAGCAGTATCTATATAAATAGAAAAGAAACAACTACAGAGCAATATTAAGCTTTAAGATTCCATAACACCGCAGGGCGGGACAGTTAAACACGAAGGTAATTTTGAATTGGAGTACAGCACGCGTTAAGATATTGTTGGGTGTAGACGGTGTGCACAATTAAAAAGGACATTTTATGTTAATTGGAAATGAAGTTGTCCAAGACTTTGAGAAAATAGTGTCTGAATGAATTCCTTATTCTAAAAAAAACTAATATTAAAGTTTTAATTATTTTTAGGATTATAAATATGCCTTGAGAGCATTTGTTGAGTTTATATTTCAAGGAAAGTTATTGCCCTTTACTGATGTACATTGAAATCTACGTCCTCTTGTGTACGTGCAAGCTGTAAACAAGGGAGATAACAAGTTTTTTTTGTGAAGAAACAAGAAGGTTGTATTTCTATAATAGGATATTCCATATCTGGTTTATAGACGTGATAGCCGTAAGTTACTTTATTTTAAAGAAGTTCATTATAGTAATGTATGCCTTGCCTTCAATTGGCCTGGATACATGTAGATAATTTTTGTACTGAAGTATTAAAATTTGAAAAAAAAATTACACTGTAATTGATAAGTCAAAGTAGTCAAAGACATTTCATGCAGACAACAAAAATAAAAGCTTTTGCATATTCATGCACATTACATGTTTTAATTAATGTACACATTAATATTTTATGAACACTTTTTGAAAATACACAATTTATGAAACAGTTATTATTTAGCTACATTTAGCCTCAAATGTTTCTATGAGTTTATTTTCCTGTTAGGTCTATTTTTCAAAGAAGTTTTTTTCATATAGATTTACTATTTATATATTTTTTTCTAAAAAATATCTGTATTAATTTAGTAGTCTTATCAAAATTCCTTTATTGAAATTGGAAAACATTCTCTGCTTTGTCATCCGATCAGGAGATTGTCCACTTTAGAGCGAGAAGAAGGAATATACCGTTGAAGGAATGATAGTTTAGAACAAACAAACGCAAAAAGAATATATAAAAGTAGATTTATCATGTTCTGATTCATGCATAGGGGATATAATGTTATCTGAAGATTGTTTGTATGATGCATTACTCATTATACTGTAATGTTTGTCTTCCTATTGTTTAAATGTTTTTTGTATAGTTATCCCTATAAAAATAAAGACATTGAAATTTAACTCTTTATACATTAGGATTGTTTTTTTTTAATGAATATAGGCATCAAAAATAAAAAAATTTTTTTTGGTGAGAGGGGGGGACATGAAATACTTCTCAGCAGTACAACTAGACATTTTAAGACCAGTGCAAAAGTTATATAGTCAAGTGTAATGTTTTCAAGAAAGACATTGCCATATTTTAAAATAGATCTTCATTACTCTGAGACACAGAAAATCTAATCTATGTGCTGACATTAATGTCTAGTTATTTTTAGCTCTATCCAAGGTTCTATGCAGAACCATGTGACCAAAGTTTATTTCGGTTGTGGTGTGCATTCATTCTCAGTAAACTTCTTTGTTATTTAAATGTTCATTGTATTTCTGTTTTGAATAGGTCATCTACTTATTGCATAAAGGGTTGTGCAGTGGATATGGGTCTGACAGATTTCACATTTTTGAAAATAAATATTTTTGTTTTGTCAAAAGTCTCCTTTGTGGGCTCCTAATTTAGACTTGGGCTATTAGTTAATGACTTGTTTGTATAGACCACTGCACACCTCTATCTGTATCCATGTTTCTATAATAGCAATTGCTATAGCTACTTTTATATTTATTTCTATATAAAGCTTTATATCAAAGATTACATTTTGTATTGCAATTATTTATATTGAAAAATTTTTAATTCAATTTATTCAGCAGTATGTTTTATAAATTAAGAATGAATACATTATGCATTTAATTACTTAATAAATGATACACTTGTATGATTTTATAATTTTGTTATTGTGATTATAGTGTACAGAATATAAGGCTTGATAGGCTAATTTGATTTTGTTTTCTTATAGCAACTATAAGTTACATTAACTTTGGTGAAAGTAAATCTAGAGTTGATGAGGCATCTGAGTAGTAGTCCAATTTGTTTTACTGGGTTATCACTATGAAAAATTAAATACCAAGTAAAAGTTCCTTATATAATATCTCCATAAAAGCACACTTTAAAACTTGTTACTTTTTTAAATCTTCTGAATTCAGAAAAAAAATTAGAGGATATTTTATCCTGAATCAAAAGCCTAAAGCCACTTATACAGTTTTTAATATAATTTTGCTGATATAAAAAAAGTCAACTTTTTAAAATTTCCATTATTGTCATCTTTAAAATTTAATTAACTTTTATTTTTAAAAACTTTATACGGTACCAATAATGACAAAAAAAAAAAAAAAAAAAAGAAAATTAAAATAAGCCCTGCATCAGATGTGGAAAAATATTCATGCCGCAATTGGGTTTGCATAGTCATGTGAAACATTGCACTCATCCGTAATCTTTGGATTTAAAGATTTTGCCATTTTAACTAAAAATGTATGTCTACATCTATTTGAATATAACTTAAGTTTTTCTTATAAAGTGACACAAAACTACAGCAAATTTTGAAATCCATGCATGCAAAATATAAGATTCTTGATTTGTGGTGTATCAGCACTAAACAGATTATTTAATGTTTCATTTAGTCCATTCTAAAATATTAAATATTCATCTAGTTGAAAGAAATTTTTATTTATTTATTTTAACTTTTAATTCAATTTTATTTATTTTTTTACACTTTATTTCATTTTTTTTTTTAAAATTCTTCTCTAAACAAAGGATGGCCATTATAGTTATTCATTTGACTTTTGACATTAAGTACAACCATCTTTTATCAAGTGTGGTAGCATAATAGCAGCATGCTGATAAGACTATAGTTTGCTGTGACCCATCTCTGTCCATACTTAGATATTTCTTCTCAGCATATATTTATTTAGTGACTTTGTATTTTCATTTAATAAAATTTTGCATTGAAAAATTCATTGTGTAAATGTTTTCAAATCAGTTCATTTATCAACTCTTCACAATATATACAAGCATTAGCTTTTTCATTTACATTCATTGCTTGTGCTTATAAAAAAACGTTTCTTAATTTTATCTAGACTAGTGTACTGACATTGCTGCCACTGAATGTAAAGTTGACCAACATACTGGTCACATAGAACCCTCATACATTATTGCACTGTGATAAGCTGTCCTCACACATTATTGCACTGTGATAACTTAAAGCTGTAAGCTTCAGCCTAATGTCACAAAGTGTCTTTTATTCATATGATTTGCTTCTGCAAGTCAAACCAACTTAAAGGTTGTAATGTTAAAATAGACCTCTCCTAACCCTTCATCTATAGCCAAAATAAAGAACATGAACTCTAGAAGCACAAATAGCATGCCAATTAAAACTGCTGACAGTCAGAAATCTGTAATGATTAGATTGATCAAAGGTATACATAAGAATGCTCAACAGAAAGTTGATGCATTGAACCATTGAACATTCCAGATAAAAAAAAGGTAGCCTAATTTCTGAATTTATTTATAATAGAAAACAGCTTAAGATACTTGTTAGAATATAAGGAGTTTTAGATTTAGGACTTTTCTATTTGACATTGTTGGCATTATTTCTTGAAACTAAAACATAAATATTAAAAGAGCATTAAATACAATTTCACCAAAAATACAACAAAGCTCTGAATTGTTATAAATTTTATTTATGTTACAAATATTTACAATTATACACACTGCACATTATACATATATATATATATATATATATAATATATTAATCTAATGTACATTATGTGATGCAATATCATTCCATGTCTGCCTCAGTGTTCTTATGGATCACAGTATTGTATAATTGACCTCCAACCACAGCATTTGTCACATGATCCATATTGCAGGTGATGATATTGTTGATCTGAATCACATTCCTATTTCAGAGTGAAATAAAAACAAATATTAAAAAAGAATCAACAACTTAAAACTATCATAAGGAAGAAGGAAACAGTTTGAAACTGATTTGTGTGGCAACAAGTGACTTTGCACTTCACTTCTAAGTTTCTGATGTTTTGTCAGAAATGAAGATATGCACTAATCTTAACTGATATAAATACAGACATTTCTTCAAAAAAGAAGATGATTACGTCCAGAACAGTGGGTGGCAGCAAGATTAGTCCAAACTCAGTACAATCATTGCGAAAGTCTGGAATGCATACAGCATGGCCAGTTTGTGTACCAGTCTGTTCCAATCAAATTTAAGTGTAACAAAAAAAACCTAATAGGATTTTCTGTCTATACAAATAGATAAATATTGATACTACTATTATTATTAATTATAAGTAGTGATGTCAGCAAACATAATGTAGGCTCAAGGTGCTAAAACATTTGCAGAAAAAAAAAGTAATGCTCAAGCATTATTAAGTGCAGATGCCTCTTAAAAACAATAAGCTTGGAGAACAGATTTGTTTTTTAGAAATCATTCAGAAATCACTGCATTGTGATTGGAACATTTCATAGCTTATAACTCCAAGGAAATATTGCCTTGGTATTAGTAGGATGAATGGCTGAGAGGCATAAACCAGTTAGTTATCTAGAAAAGGGGCTCGAGATCAAAACCTGACTTGAGCTGAGTTGTGTTTGTTGAGCAGCTAAGGGCAGCATGGTAACCTTCCCCCACTGGTTCACAAAAGAGATTGGACCATAGGGCTCTAAGCATGCAAGTTGCACTATTCAAAAGCAATTAAAAAAAAAAATTCAACTACATTTGTTATGTATCAAATATAACACACTTTTGATATTATATGCACCTTGTGGCAAAAGACAATAAAAAACACAAAACACTAAATAGAAAAAAAAGTGAAAGAAACATCTAAAATGTTTTTTTCTTTTGCAATCAATGATGCAATACAAATTCTTAGCTCTACTAGAAGACAATCAAACTATTTACTTGCTTATATATGTGTTACTTTTAAGATGTATTCTTTATTTGCTCATTATGTCCAGTGCATATAAAATAGATTACTATTGAACAGAAATTTGTTTTTGATTTCAATAAGCTTAAAAAAATAAGATTTATAATCAAAGTAATTTAACAGTAATAATTTCAAAGTTAATTAAAATGTGGCTTTAGGGAGAGTTTGAATTAAAACAAAGAAAAAAGCATAGGCTATTAGATACATACACATTTAATCCAGAGTCTGTTGCTTCTTTGGACAATGAAGGAGACGCACTTGTGCAAAAGTTAAAGAAATCCACAGAGCAACTATCTTTAAAAAATCTACATACAGTATCCCGGACAGCAGTTGCAAGAGCAGCAGAGTCAAATTTGAAACCTGTCTTTTCAGGAGCAACAGTAGATGTTTTATCAGTAGATGGCATCAACATAGAAATTAAAGGATCATGTGGATTAAGTTCCACTGTAACAGGTTTGATCTTGGTTTCATGATCTTTCTTTGATTCTTGAGATGAAACTGGCTCTAGACAAATAACAATAAAAAAAAAAATGAATAAGAAATTAAATTATAACTTATTTGGACAATGTAAAGATTGATGATTTTAAAAAAATGTTTTCTTTCTTTACATAAAGAAAGTCGTATTCTTGAAACATGTTAAATATTAAAAAAGTAGTAGGTTATTTATGAGACATGGTGGCTGAAAGGTAAAGTACTTGGCTCCTGAACTGAGAGGTCTCTAGTTGGATTCTCTGTGAAGACTCAACTCAAATGGGTACTTAATAGTAGTTAGGAAAAGTTAAGGTGGTTGGTTGTTTTGCTGGCCAAATGACACCCTCGTTAGCCGTCAGCCATAGAAACAGATGAGCTTTATATTATATGCCCTATTGATCTCAAGGTCTGAAAAGGTACTTTTTTTTCTTTACAGTATGCTATTTGAAAAATGACTATTACACAAAAGCTCATAACTGGAAAACCATTAATCTATAAATGGTCATGATTGACTGCCGGAAAGTAAATAGGCTAAATCAATCAGAATATTTAACAAACTATTTTATGGGTGTTCATACATTTCAAAATGCTGCTACCAAAAAATGTCACAAGAATTGTAGTGGCTACCTTGTAATGGCTGATCAGTCTGTGGTATATTTTCTTTACAAGTTTCTTGTATGTCAAGTACATTAGGCTGGGAAGGAGTGCAATGCTGATGAATCTCATTTTGGGATTTTGTCTGTGCTGAGTTACTTTGCCCATGGTCTGTATTTGGATTGTTAGATGAGCAATCATCAGAAGAAGTATTGGTATCTTGTAAATGTATACAATCTAATGAAAAAAAAAAGAAAAAAGTACAAATGTTATTAAAAAAGATCTACTAAAACAAATTGTATGATAATAGCACTATTATTTCACTGCACACTTATATGTTATATTGTACATAAAACTTTCAGGATCTGTCCAAGCCATCTCCCACCCACCCAGATAGTTTCTTAATGAAATGAATTTCTTACCTTTTAAGAAAATGTAAATGACTTTTGGCTCCAGTTCATTAGGTTTGATTAAATCAAACATGAGTGCCAAGTTTATCTTGGATGTATGTTTTGTCCTAGGCAACACCAAATATTTCTCTAAACATATCCCTGAGAAATGAAACAAAAACATTCAAAATGAACAAAAATCATACAGTTGAGATTATAGTCATAAAAACAGGGAACAAAAAACATGGTTAGTTTGTTAATAATTTGTGTTCCACAACTACTGAAGCAATGATTCAAAATTTGTCCTTTCTTTAAGCTTTTTTTTCTCACTCATTCCCTCACATCATAAGAACTGGCATTTGATTCATATCAAATTTGGTATTAAAAAAATGTTGAATATAAAAGTTATTGATCAAAATTAGATCAGCCTGCTGGCCATTTTAATTTCTGACACTCATGTACCGGGCCAAGTCAATAAAAAGAAATATAATAAATTGACAACTTTTCTGATAACTCTTGTTGCAAGTCCAAGGTGACATCCAACCATAATTTTCCACTTTTCTTTAAATTTTTACAATCAGAGTCTACTTTTATTTTTCTTCAGATCTCCCATTTCATTACCGCACACCAGGGGCGGACTGGGTATCAAAATAGGCCAGGGCATTACCATATAAACTGGTCCACAAATGGCAAGTCATATATCTTCGGTGTGTGTGGGATTTTTGGGTTGCTGCTGTCAATTTTTGTTTTAAAGTTGTCTGCATTGAATTATTTTTTCTTTGGTCGCAACCAGACCGGCCCATTTGGTACCAGCCCACCGGGCATTTGCCCGTTTGCCCATAAAGCCATTCTGACCCTGCCGCAAACATATTAAATTAAATAGTACAGTACCACTTGTGTTTATACCAAATTATGGCAAAAATGATGCCTCGGGTTGCACTCACAAGATATCACATACAAGGCTAGCTCAAGAAAGCAGCAGACATTTAAAATAATTAAGAACAACAGAAGATTCAAGTCTCCTAAAAATCAAAACAAACTTTTTTTTTCATACAAAAAAAAAAAAAAAGAGTGAGAGCCCTAACATAGGGACAGGTAAAAACCTTTTTAATTGTGGTTTTCTACATTCTTTGTCTGATGGGGGGGGGGGGGGGGGATAACGCAGGCTTGATCTGGTCAATTTGTATTTTGGGCATCACATGCACTATTTCACCAATTACTTTTAGAATAGGAGACTATATACTTCTCTTAAAAAAATAAAAGTGGGACTGAAGGAAACAAAGCTTAACAGCTTTTACAGAATACAGTCTAAAAATAAAGCTATATGCCTTTTGACATTTTTTTTGTTTTACCTATATTGACTCCTGAGCATGGTGCATATGAAAGTTTCAAGTTCAAGGTTTTAAACTCTTTAGCATTTAGTTCATGGAAAGTATACCGAACAAAAGACACTTGGTTGTTCTTTTTTTTCAAAATGATTTCTGCGACAGTTCCTGATGAGCTTATATCAAGGCAGGTAA